TACTGAATAATTCTACACACTTCAATGTGAAAAAGATACATAGCAGTCAAAATTCCTATTGTTTTTCTTTCACATGCATAAAGTCAAAGTCCAGTCTACCTTTTCTAACTGCCTCATATTAATTTTTTTTTCATATTGCTGAACTGACACCAAGTAGCTTTCTCCTTTATTAAAAGCATCTTTAGTCAGTAAGAGCAGTTTTTTGAAAGTGAGAGTAGAATTGTGAGTTTGGTCCAGAAGTAAGAGGGCAGTTTTGCTTTCTAGTTTCCTTTTTAACTTTAAATGGCTAGACCTTACTAAAAATAAAATGGATGGATTGTAAAGGGTATTATAACCAGTCCTATCTCTTTAACATGAAGGTCTAATAGTACATAGTTCTTTCCAACAAGCTGATCAGGAATAAAATGTAACCTTTTGCAGAGGTGAAAAAAAAAAACTGGAGGCATGAGATTAAAAAAATTATGTGACTAGTTTATAGATACTCATAGGATTGTGTGCATGCAGAGTAACTCTAGAAGAAAAAAATAGAGATTTGATGAAGTCTAAGATAAAGAGCTCCAGTTCCAGTTAAGACTAGACCTTGCAAATTTTTTTCAATAAACTTGCTAATGGAGTACGTTCTTACATAAGGACTTGAGACATTATCTAAACAGTCTGGCTGAAAGATGCTTGTTCACTTGTTAGACATGTATGACATCACTGAGAAGATCAGAGTCCCAGAAGTAAAGACTGATTAGCTTGTGCAGGTGTATGAAGAATGACACATTAGGCAAAAGGTTATGTAAACCATTTACTAAAAAAAAACACAGATTGGATTTTTACATTCCCAGACCTCTACTTATCTTTTCAAGTAGGACCTAAAATTCTCTGACCACCATCAGATTTAGTGGATGACAGATTCAGTTTTGAATTAAGAAATTATTCGTGTAGTTTTAAAACACAAAACCAAAGCTTTCACCTCAGGTTGAACATGTATACATTTCCTCAAGAAGCCCCACTACTTATGTATTAAGATCTTATCAATACTATATTTTTGTTTGTTAAAACATTATTCCTTCTAAAATAGTATATTAAAGATTTTAAAGTATTGCATACTGTTTCAGTAAGAGGTACATAAGTTAATTTGAATATTAGCACTGTCCTATAACTTCGAAAGTAAAAACTCACGGTCAGGGTTTTACCAACAGTACAGGAAGGAAAAAAATAATTAACCAGTGTTAAAAATTAAATGAAAATTTACTTTTTTATTGAGTATTTTTATTTTACATGCAAAGCATATTAAAAGTGAATTCATATCAAGTTGACTACCCCAGTGAAAACCTATGCAATGGGGATTATGAAAGCTGTCTACACAATACTAATGTGATCAATAAATTATCCAGATTTTTCTCTACAAATATTTGGATTACCTGAATTAGCTGATTTTTTAACAAAACAGTCAATTTCAGTTTTCATATGGTCTTTGCTGGTAGCAGCCACCATCTGATACTTAAATTTAGAAGAAAAGCATAATAATAAAAACCCTGAATAGCACAGTCAGATCTTTCAAGAAACAAGTTCACACAAAAAAAGCAATATACATCTATTAGGTATTCAGAGGCAGAAACAAAACAAAACAGGCACACAAAAACATCCATCAAGTGATCATCACTAACATTCTATTATTACCAAAGTGACTGCCAATATGTGAACTGTTTATTAGACTTAAACATCTAAAAACAAACCAGTAATCAATAATGCATACAGAAAAACTAACTTAAAGTCACTTTTGAACACCATCAACAGTTTGGTACAGCTGACATACGTTGAATTCTTTTTACTTCATTACTGCGACAAATTCCTTTAAAATGTTCTTTTCATAATACGTAATTACCTAAAGGAAACACGGTAAGATGCTTCCCAATATGCATCCAGTCTTTCATCCACCATTCAGTAAACACTGCAGCAAATTAAATAGTACCTATTAATCAGACCTAAAATACAATGGCTGCATAACTAATACAGAAAATACTTTTGAATGAACTATTCAGAGTAGACTGGCTAATGCTGCTGAAGACAGCACTGACACACACTACACACACTGTACACTGACAGATGGAAGGGCTGATCCATGGACATTTTTTAAAACTTCTGCAATATCTATAATTGTATGACCAGTTACTTGCTGAAAGAATAAGTATGAAAATTTAACATAACCCCCTCAACCATGTTTCTCTCACATATTCACACATAATTATTTTGGGGGTGGGGGAAGTATGGGGAGACAACTTTAGTGTGCTGTTAGATTCTAGCTAAGTAAAATTAAAAACAAATTGGGCTCAGGTTTTCTTGGGCAATGGTTCGAGTCTTTATACTGGGAAGGAAACAACCAACTTTGATATATTAAAGAGAAAACTTGACAGCATGGTGGAGAGTGCCTTTGTACATGCACCTGACGATAAAATGTTTGCTATTAGTACCATATTTTCAGCTTACTGAAACAACAACAACAAAGTGTCACTAGTTCTAAGGTAAGTCATACAAATTATAATCCTAATCAATAGGGTGTCCTTTATTTATGAGAGCACGGTTCTAATGCAAGAAAGTCAAGTTTACTGTTACAAGTTAGGAATGGTTCAGACAGAATGAGACAATGTTTATCACTGACTTTAACATGTTATTTTAATGCTAGTTCCTTCTCATTTAATATATTTCCCCCAATGAAAAGCTAGTGTGTTTGATTTTTTTTATATTACAAGATGAAAATATATGCATGAATCTTAGAACAGGTTATTGACAACATCAAGAATAGGTATTAAGTAAGTGCCAACACTGCATGGAACTTACTAGGCACTGAGTCAAGATAAAAAAACTACAAAAAAAGATGAAATACGACAATCAATGTACATACGAATATTCTCTGGGACATCAGATTAATTATCAAACCCAAGGTTCTTCCTATTTTATCTTCTGGTGTTTGAACATATGAACATGTTATTACATTGACTTGCATTATTTTCAACAACGTATTATTAATGGACTCAAAAACCTGCATTTTAATTTCTAATTATAAAAATCCAGATTAATCCAGAAAACATAAACCACATGTAATTGAGGTAGGTTTTTTACCTTAAGAATACATTGCTTCATGTATCTGCCCCGATAATTTTCTATGTATTAAACTACTTGAGCAAGTATGACAGAGCTAATCTACTATATTTAGTAAATTCCCTTAGAAATATACACTCTAATGCCTTCTTCTTCCTCTCTAAAGGTAACTGTAGTGCAATAAAACTAATAATTCTAGAAAGATGAAATAGAGATTATTTCTTCAGTAATATCCAAGTTAATGCGTATCAGAAATCAAGGAGGCAAGTCACATTCATTTTAAAGATACAAACTTATTGTTTTGAAAATAACATCATAAACACATTAGAACTCTGGATATTTGGATATGCTTTATTATGCCACAAATTCCCAGGAAATATAAGAAATAATTATTTCTGAATGGGACTAATAATTTCACACATACTAGCACTTTACTGACAATAGCCCAAGTTTTTTAAGGTAGTGTACATGTATTTAAGTAACCTTTCTAAAATTTCAATGCTTTTTATAAATTTTAAAGGGAAATTGTAGCAGATCCTACTTATTTTTCAATATTCGGTGTAAAAAATCATTAAGTGATACAAATATACATTTTAAGCATGGGAGAGAGGACTGCACGTGAACTGCTTTGCCTCAATTGTCGGGCTTCTCTATTTGCACTAGGTACCGTTATGTATAAGGTCACTGTTGGAAATGTTCCTCATAAACTGAAACAGAGGAAAAACTTTAAAAGAGCTCAGTCTTTAAAAGCCTTAATAGCTGGTATAATTTTAAACGGGGAACTGAAATATTCCTTTAGTTACAAATGGATTAAACAGAAAATTCAAAATACTTCTTTTATTGAAAAATCAGTATATTAATATATTTTAAGGTTGGATACTAACAGCGTTTTCACAACATCCAAATTGTGGTTGGGAAGCTAGACAATACCAGTACTTCTGCCACACAATTAAGGGTAAATTATCCAAGGGAAATGAGGACCACACAGCCAAAGGCGCTGCCTGAGCCTCGAACACCACTGTGACATATGGGCAACAAATCACTGTTACCATGCTGGGACTATTCTCCAAAAAAGATGCCCT